GCATAACCCTAACTCCCACTAGAAGCACAATAAAACATGCAAGAACATATAAAAGCAAACTGCAACAATATTCAATGTACACAATAACGAATTAACATGGGCATAGTAAGAAAAATCCAAAAAAGCAAACTAAATGGACATAAAGAGTTGATTCTCATTCCAAAACATAGAAGAAGACCACATCAATCGAAGTAGAATATATATATTAAAAAAAAAGAAATAGGAAATACAAAAAGTAAAGCTATTCTATTGCAGGGCGGTCCTTAGCTACACCAGCTGAAAGTGTTGACTCATCCACAATAACCCCGGGGTTTGTAAAAGCAGTTGACTCAGGCGCATCTACCACTCTTGGACTCCCTTCAAGTCCAGAGCGTGCAACCATAGCAAGATCCTCCACATCCTCACTTAAGATGCCAGCCTTCGCAGACACTTCCTCCTCATCATCTAAGTTTTGATATGCATCAATCTGCCTAACAAAGCTACAATCTTTATCAGGAAACCTAGATTGAAGCTCAGACAATCAAATCTGACTGATGCAATAATGTATCGTTAACCGAGTGAGTGGCTAAGGCAGTAGTACCCTTCACCCAGGCAAGGTCAGCTCAAGTTGTTGGATGGTGGTAATGTGTTCTTCCTCCTGCTTAATCAACTGCTCTACCCGAGCATTGAGCCTAAGGGAGGAGTTGAGATGTGCATCCCTATCCTGGGAGATAGGTCAGATCTTGTCCTCTAATTCCCCCACAAAGCAGTTATGCTCCGGCGCTTGGGTTTGGACAGAGCTCTCTAAATTTTCAACCTTAGCATTTTCAGCCTTTAAGTCCTCTGTAAGAGTAGCGATCAACTCCTGCAATTCCCTTATGCGGCGATGGGTATCATTATTGGCACTCACCAACTAAAACATACAGAGTCACAAAAGATCACAATACATAAGCAAAAGGAGAAAAGGAAGAGAAAAACGCGAAACAACAAATGTAAGAGGAAATACCATTAGAAGCCCACTATTGATCTAATCAAGAAATGATTCCTCCTCTAGGCCCTTTAGTCGAACCAAGTCGACAGGAAGAGCACACTGGGTAGGAAAGCCCGAGTGACTTGGCCGTTGCTGACCGAGGCATCCTTCCCATGCTTCCTCCTCATTACAGTCCGCATCTCAAGCCCCTTCTCAGATATTGAAGAGGCTCATTGTCACCACCTTGTTGTCGCTTGTTTTTTCTCTTTGGCTCAAGAGTTTTCTAGCTAGTTGGAAGAGCATGGGAGACACTATGATCGTCAACTCAAAGCGCCTTAGGCCAGATCGCTGGGTTCGAGCTTCCCCTAGGGCTCTGACCAAACCGAGTGGCAATTAACTGGTCCCCATCCGCTGCCAAACGTGCTTTCATCTCTTTGGATAGTTTTGGGCCCATTTCTACAAAAAAGAAAAAAAAAGTTAAAAAGAAAAGTCAGTAATAGAATGAGAGGAAAACAATTAAGACCTAGCTCACCCTCTGTCTCCCATGTTTTCCTCTTCCTTGAGGCTCGAGGTCTCGCCCCCACAGGAATGTTGGAATCTAGTAGGGTTCAGGGCATGCCGCTTTATAACCTTAACCTGCCTAACCTCTACGGCAGTCAGATCTCGAGGGTTTCTTAGGTAAGGAGCCCCTAGACTCCACTGAGAAGGCACCCCAGAGCCTTAGGGTGATTAATAAAGAAACATTTTTCTTTTCATCTCCCATTAATCAATGAGCTTTTCAAAGGGAACATGTTGCATTCTTTCCAAGTTAAGAGGTGTGGATGGTCCTCCGGCCCTCTCTAGACAAAGTTGAACATGGCATACAAGTGATGCATGTTAAGATCAAAATTTTCTTGATCAGCCATGATATTCGCACTGAGTATCATCCAAACGCTATTAGGGGCGATTTGGCCAATAGTCAACCCCCACTTATTATAAAAGGAAGAAAGAATTTTCTACAAAGGAAATCTCACACCTGCTCGGCAGTCCTCCATATAAATAATCAAAATTTGCTGGTCCAATCCATTATTAGCTCTTATCCCTGCTGGGGGGGACCCCTGCCTTATATTTCGAGGGAATGAAGAAGCGAGTGCATGTACCCTTCAGATCCTGCTCGGTCAATATAGAGTTCAAATCCCTGACCCTCATGTTTTGTTGCCTGGAGCGAGCAGGCTTGTCCTCCCTCAATTCTAGCAATTGTTCGGGTGTCATCACATCTCGTAATTGGGGAGTGAGGAGCATGTTTTGAGACACCGAGCCTAAGCCAACTCTTGAAGCAGAAGAAGACATATCTTGCAGACTCAGCCGAATCAGTTGCATCTCATCTTTCGATTTGGAGTCCACCACTCCTAGAATAAGGTTGTTTGCCTCTAGGCCCACTTGTTCGTCCCCTAGACCCAAAAGGTCGAAAGGTTCATAAGTAGGGGAACTTCCCCTTGTTTCAACAATCGGAACTCATTTCCAGGAATTTTTAAATACAAAAAGCCAAAAACAATAAGCTAAGAACTCAAGTAGAAAGGCAATGGAAGTTACCTGAAGAACAACGAAGCAAAAGATGAGTTTGGAAGGAAAATATTATCAAGCAATCGCTAAAAGCACGAGCACAAGACTTTATATAACAGGGAAATTCCAGCAAACCGTCGCTAGAAGTTGAAGCGCCAAGGCACAAGAAGAGTTGCTTTTCAAAATTCAAAAGTGACCATCACCAAAACGACAATTAGTAAACAAAACCAACTGCTGCCCTCTGAGTAGAGGCCCACATCTGAACTCAAGGCACAAGTGTGCCTGTTCCCAGGCCCAAAAGTATGCAACAAAAGCCTCATAGCAAGCTGTGGTGAGCAGCCCTTTATCTTTGAATACAACCAGCGCACCACTCCTTATAGACCGAGCAATGATTCTGAATGAGGGGGAAGTTATTGAGCCTATCAATCAATGACATAAATGTCATCTAACCTTCAGAGGGGACATCTGATAGACACTTGCTTGACCGAGATCCCCGGATTCCTTGAATCGTGAATAAGAGAAATATGATGTGGGCTTGATTTTAAGAGATAATGCTCGGATATCACTCCCTCATCGTTTGGATAACCAACTTGACACTTATAACTTGTATGTAACGACAAATCCATTCCCTGAAAAAGGTTAATGTCAATTCAAACTATCAAATATAACTAGAGCATCACTATTCCCTTAAGATCATCATATTTTTAAGATTATCAAATAGTATTAGTAATTTGATCGGTTGGTTCCTTTTTACTATCATTGTTTTTGCTTTGAAGACTATGGCTTCTTAGTGAATTTCTCTATCTAGTTCGCTCAGTTGGTTTGAACATATTATTAGTCTAAAACACGTTGTTCAAAAGCCTGGTAGTCTTTGATTAGGGTGGTAAACGAATTAGTCTAAGTCTATTGAGTTAAAATTCAGTTTGTTAGCTTCCTTTTACAGAGTTTAAATTTAATTTTTTTACAGTTTATAGATATAAATGAGTTTATAGATTAAAAACAAAATGAAAAAATTGTGGCTTGTTTATGGGCTTAAACTTTGGCTCATTCATAAGCTTGTCGACTAGATTTCTGCGATATTTGAAAGCTCGCACTAGTTTCCTTTGTTAGATAAGCTTGATAACTAGGGTTCAGTGTAACAAAATAAAACTTTTTTTTAGCCAAATATGGAGTAATTCATGAATGATTTAATCCATTTATAATTCTATCCCGCTCATATCTCTAAATTTATAGTCATTCTTAGGAGTAAGCAAACAGGTCATTTCTGTTTGAAATAGAAAATCAAATTTTTAGGAATAATATCGCAATCGCTTTGAACTTGCTTTGTTGATTTAGCGGGTTTTTTTTTTTTTTTTTTTTTTTTTAGGAGTAAGCAAACAGGTCATTTCTGTTTGAAATAGAAAAATCAATTTTAGGGAATAATATCGCAATCGCTTTTGAACTTGCTTTTTGATTTAGCGGGTTTTTTTTTTTTTTTTTTTTTTTTTTTTTTTTTTTTTTTTGTGTGTGTGTGTGTGTGAGGTTAGTTGTAAGCCTAACCGAATTCATTTTATGGCAAACCAAACTAACGTGAAACTTTTGTGTGAATCAAAAAATTAAATTTCTTATGAGCAAGCCAATTCAACTAATGAAACTCTTAAAAAAACTACAGAAATTTCAAATTCCCGATGACAAAATTAATAGATAAATTAAAAAAATAATCAATGAAAGTGTTCACCATATATAAATATGCTTAATATAAAATAAGTTAATGAAAGTCTTAGAAAAACTAAATAAATTTCAAAATCATAACGACAAAATTGATAGATAAAAATCCAAGAAAGAAAAAATATATATATATAATTTGGTTGGTTGAAAAGAGAGCACTGGAAAAGAGAAAGCTTGGTTGATTTTAATGGATGCCGATTGGAAAAGAAAAATTAATTAGTTTCACAAATGAAGAAAGAAGTCAAAATTAATTAATTTTTATAAGAAAAGCGTTGGGCTTTTTTTTTTTCTTTTTTTTTTTTTTTTTTTTTCTATTTTGAAGTGGAATGTTAGTCGGCATAATCAACATTATGGGACCATTTAAAATTAAGAACATCAGTTAAACTTGGACAAATGGCTAACAGCTAGCTAAAGTTGATTAACAAGATTATTAACACACAGCATCAATTGATAAAAAAGTTTTTCTTTTTTTTTTTTTTTTTTTTTTTTTTTTGGGCATTAGAATTTTTTTTTTTTTTTTTTTTTTTTTTTGGGCCATTAGAACTAATTTAATACATAAAACATTTTAGAAAAAGTGTAATGTTCAATCTACGTCTGAAAAACTTGATTTTCAGCTGCCATGTCTTCTCCATTTCAGATTCCATTGGCAAAAAATGTCCGATGAGAAACACCGTCTTCTAGCTACTGATAAAAAGAATATTGCAAGGGAGGTCCTATGATCAAACATAAAGCCATAAGCATCACAAGAATGACAGACAATACACAGCCTAACATTTGGTGTCCAGAGACTTGGGACAAATAATTTATCAGAAATTACATTTTGTAAGAAAAAGAGTTGCTATGATAAAATTATTTTGATTCCTACATAATGTCTGCCAAGCGAAATCAACACTGAATCGCATTAAATCAAATCACGTATCCTCATTCAAATAAATGGTTAAATTAGGACAATAAATGCCAGACTGCTTCTATCTCCCACAACTAAACTGGTATTCCACATGTCTGTCTATGTTAAATACATGCTTCTAGCATACAAAGGTAAAAAATTTTCTTGTTTCTGTCTCCCTTTCAGTCATCCTATAGTTTGATATGCCTGAAAGCTGTTTTGCAAAGACTCAGACACCTGTACATTAATATGTTGTGATTATAAAAATTACCTTTTCACATAAATAGAGCACTGAAAGATGCAAGTTTCTGCAGAAGACCATCACTGCTGCTAATCAATTGTGTACAGGAGCAGCATGGTCAATAGGTTGCGGTGGTACATCACCATCATCACCAACACCAACATCAACAACATGCCTGCGCTGTCTCTCGCGGAGATAGAGGACTGTCAGTAGACAGACAACAAGGGTCAGTATTGTTGCATTTCCTTCCTCCATGATCACATTCTCCACCCATGCTTCAACTTTTGGGTAGAATCCAGGCAATGAATCAATCAAATCAACCTACAATAGAAACAAACACAACGGTCCCTCTACTAGTCAGTTGAGACTTGAGGATAAAATTTACAAGAAAATGCAATCAAGTCTTATACCCAATTTGATTAGAGTCAACTATACAAGTCCTTTTAGTGCCAGGTGTAACACCATTTGGCATCTATTTGGTATAACAATCTAAATGCAGTTTAGAGTTATTACCATGTTAAATTAAAAGCATTAATCCTTAAACAAAACCAGATACCAATTTGTTATAGAAGATTAACCAACTGTTAAAACTCAAAACTCCTATTAAGAGAATTCAGGTTTGACAGTTAGAACAGGAGGATGGGGAGTCAGAACTAATAGGCATGAAGGGGAATGAGAGCACTTTAGAGGAAGAGAAGGGAGGAGAAAATTTTGAACTGATCATTTTCGGGAAATTAAAAAAATTACCTGTGAACAGGAAAGGAAGAGATATTTTAATTTAATACTTCATTTTGATGGCTGGGAGGGGAAAGAACTTAATATTGAAAGAACAAATAAATCCATATCATTAATTTTAAATTGTCAATAAAATTCTAAGGATAAAACAGAGAATATGTTTACACCCTAAATTGGGATATAACTTTCAACTCCTAGGATGGAAATCATTATTATTTTTTCCTCTTCCACTTCTAAAAGTTAAATGCCAAACAAAATTCGAGGGTGATTTCCCCTCCATGACCTTCCTTCACCCAAAATTCATCCATGCATAGTGTTAGGAAGCATCCAACTTGCATATACAATCAAGCATTGGAACAAAGGGGGAAATTTTTTAATTTAATAAAATTGAAAAGGGACCCAAGTGGTTTTTCACATACTTATTTAGTCGTTCTTTTAATAGCATCAATCTCATCCCTATACTTTCTCATAAAAGCCCTCTTTCCACCCATACTAAATGCAAATGAGAATAAAGTTCAAGAGGAACAAAAATAGATAAAACATTTAATAAATGGCAATATTGCCCTAACGTTGCACAAACATTTAGAAAAATAAATGACAGGTTCTCCATCCCCCAAAGGAAAATCAATGTAAAAATCATAATATGATAAGACAAAATGTTTGATTTGTTGAATGGAGGACAAATTGAAGCTACTTGGATAGATTATCATTTTTATACCAAACAAAACTGTTATGGCGCTGCTTGACTTAGGGTAGTTTTACTGCTATTTACGGTGTTTTTATTTAGTTATTCAGTGTTTATCATGTTATTATCAGTTTCTTTGTTAGTGGCTATTAGTGGGGTGGTTAATGTGGTTAAGCAAAGTAGACTTTTGTAATGGGTTGTTTAATTTAGTTGGGTAGTGGGGTAGTTTTAGCCTTTACATTTAGTTGTTTAAAAAGGCTGTTATATAGAAAAATGTAAGCAGAATTTTATAAAGGTTTTGATTCCCTAAAACCCAGAAGATTGTAGAGTTCTCTCTTAACGAGCTCTAGGAGATTGCAGATTCTCTCTAAGTTTTCTGTCACCACTGATAGAGGGAAGAAACTCCTTCTAAGATACCATCTAAACCGATTCCCCTAATCAAAGACCATAACTAGATTAATTTGGGACCGATAACAATTGGTATCAAGCCAACAGTTATGGGCGAATCTGTTAAGACCAGCTTACAAACTCTTTCAATTTACTCTTAATCCGAGCAGCAGCAGACCCGTAATGAGAAGGTTGAACAACTTCATGCCAAATTGGATGCCATGTCTTTTGACTTGGAATCCATAAAGAAGGGGCTGACTTCTTCAAGTGCTAAAAGTTAAGCACCGAAAGCAAAAGGTCCAGTAGGTTCAGCCCGTCTAGAATCTCCTAAGGGCACTACAACTATTTCAAAATTGACAGAGTTGGATGTTCTTGGACCACCTATGAGTAATAATTCAGGAAAGTTGGCAAAATTGGAACAACCTAAAACTGCCGCAGAGCGTATAGTTTTCCAGCAAATGTTTCAAGTCTCAATAGTTCTGTGTATAAAAGATAGAGTGGAGCAAAAGAAAGAAATAAGAACAGAAATAATCAAACATCAATTGTTAAGCACAATTGAGGGCTTTTGCTTGTGGATTTGGCAGCCTCTAAATGGGAAGGGGAGTGGGAAGAAAAGCAATTCGAGAATGAACATAGAGGAACAATTAGAGGAGGCCATTTGATCCAGGCAATATTAATTAAAAATATAGAAAGCACAATAAACAGTTCCTTCTTTGACAAAGAATAATAGAGGGTGAAATAAGGAATTCTGTTTTGCATCAACATTTTCAACAAGTTTTTGAGATTGCCATGTCATTCCACCTTGCGCTTGAGGAAAGCCGCTTTTCGAGGAGCGGGTGTAAATGTTATGCCGGCGCTAGCTTGATTAGGGTAGTTTTACTGCTATTTTACGGTTGTTTTATTTATTATTCCAGGATTTATTAATCAATGTTATTATCAGTTTCTTTGTAGTGGCTCATTAGTGGGTGTTAAGCAAGTAATTATTGGTATGGGTAGTATTAGTGGGTAGTGGGTAGTTTTAGCTTTACATTAGTTTGTAAAAAGGCTGTTATATCAGGAAAAAATGTAAGCGAATTTTTATGAAAAAGGTTTTGAGTTCCTAAAACTCAGAGATTGTTAAGAGCTTCCTCTCTTAACGAGCTCTAGCGAGATTGCAGATTCTCTCTAAGTCTGCACCACTGATAGAGGGAAGAGAAAACCTCCTCTAGATACCCATCTCAAACGCCGAGTTCCCCCTAATTCAGAAGACCCATAACTAGACCTATTTGGGACATAACAAAAAACAGAAACTGATAGAGGGAAGAAAACTCCTTCTAAGATACCCATCTCAAACCCGATTCCCCTAATTCAAAGACCCATAACTAGATCCTAATTTGGGACCATAACAAAAACACAGAAAGAAGTGACCATTGAGGATGTATACAGAGTGCAAGGACCAAATAAGTTGGACATCTTGAATGTAGGAACTCATGAGCTAAAAATCCAAAAGATATTTAATGCAAATTAATTATCCAAAAGTATTGTTTATAGTTACACAATTCTTATTCTACTGCAACTAGTTAAAACAGTTAACACATGAACTTAACCAATTAAGTAAAACTGAATATTCACCAAAAAATCCATTCATACTTTTCTGCCATGCTTATTACCATAAATTTTTGGGAAGCTAGGATTTACATGTTCCATTATTTTGCAACATTTAAAACATCTGAGCAGGCACATAAAGTGATTAATAGGGAGGTGGCAGGAGAAGAAGAAAAGTAGGTGTTCAACTGTTATACATTTGCTGGCGATTAGATGCACTAAATAGTACAGCCCAATTAAAAGCAAACAAGTGAAGAATATAAACTGGAGCGATAAACTCACCAGAAAACTGTCTGCATAGTTCCTTCGTACCCACAAGCTTGTGAGGGCCAGTGTAACAGGCAACTTAGCTGCAGGATCAATCTCTAGGGCTTGATCATAGTAACGCTTTGCAAGATGAAGATCATATGGAAGTCCTTGACCATGCTCATGCATGTATCCAAGGTTGAACATGGCTTGTGCATTAGATTGAGATTTGGCATGCATGTAAGCCTCTGCAGCGCGTTCATAGTCTCTTTCGGTACCCTGAGAATGGAAAAAAAAGAGAACCCAACAGAATAAATTATTTGAATTTCATAGATCCTGAAACCAAATGATCCAAAGAGACTGGAGAATCATACCCGACCATAATAATATGCATCACCAATAAGCAAAGCAGCATGTTCATTACCCTGCTCAGAAGCTTGCCACCACAATGAATGTGCACGCTGGTGCCTTTCTGCATCAGTACAAAATCCAGATTCTCCCATGCACATGCTACGCTCCCCGTATTTGTCTAGAATCCATGCAGCATTACTTTGGGCAATCTCATAACCCAGCTCAGCCATCCTTGAATATAATACGGATGCCTTGCCCACATCACCTTTTAGGTATGACTCCAGTGCCCATCTAGACAAGGTACTCCATGGTCCTCGTTCTGCAACCAGTTTATATAATGCAGTAGCCTGGAATGAAGAAAATCTCAGTTGTTAATAGATGGTTGATACATATTAAAACACCTGCAACATATCCTGAGTGATGCAATCTCAGAACATAAACATAGATACCAATTATTTGCTTCTGGCCACCTGATGTTACCCATTTACCATCACCTCAGGTTCCAAAATGAAGACTTAGAAACACCAAAAAACTTAAGAAATAGAAAACCGAAGGCTAACAAGTCCAACTGTACTTGGCGACGAGGAAAAAGAGGTGAAGATCAGTTTGAAGACAGATATTGCCATATTACCATGAGCCTGAAGGTACTAGACAGCTACGTACCTAGACAACACATTTAAGACATATGATGTAGAGCTGCCAAACAATATTAGTATCTGGTTAAAACAAGTCAAATTCAAAAATATCCAAAGAATGACCAACTAAGTACTAGCAAAGGTTAAAAAACTTTCGTGCGTATCCAACTTTTAGCCGATCATGATAAGAAGCCATATTTATGCTCTACAGGTGCAAGAATACTATGTCTATCAGCATATCCATCTAATACCATCTTAAAAGCACACCTCTTCCATTTGGATAACAATACAAAAGATTTCTGCGTACACATTAACCTATATGCTATTTCTATGACACACTAGCACACATTTTCTTTATGCATCAACATCCACCCAAAAAGAGAAAGTACTATCTCTCCAACTCTTCATGATTTTCCCATAACCACCTCAATTCAATCCCAAAGGGCCTGAACTAGTTGGGGTCGGTAAAGTCAATCTGTTTCCTCCAGGCCACCCCATAAGGCTAGACCTTCAGAAAGGTCTAGGGCCAGTAAATCCTTTCTCACTACTTCCCTCCACTGCATATCAGGAGAGAGAGAGAGAGGGAAAGAGAGATATATGCATACCTTCTGCAGTCAAGTCTCATTGGACCAACTTGTAACTTATCTTTGATGAGGGCAATCTATATTGTATAAGGTCTTCTTTTATATCCTTAGTATTAACATAACATAGAAATATGCATCACAGTTCATGAAGGCAAAAGCATATTTCAGACCAAGTCCAACATCATGATCATTAGGCTGACCCAACAACAACATGGTCTCATAGCAACAACAGGAAAGAACATTAAATTATTGGAGGGGAGAACAAATTCATAAAGAGAGAGCAAAAGTTGACTGAATATTACAGGAGGTATAAATTCATAAATTGGAAGCAAAATAATATTACAGAAGGATATAAATTTACAAACCAGAAGCAAACACAAAAAGTTAACAACTGGATTTACCATGGTGAGATCCTTCTTAAATCCCACACCAGTATGGAACATTTTTGCTAGTTGGTAAAACGCCTTTGGTTGACCTGCATTAGCAGCCACTACAAAATACTTGCGTGCCAGCCTTACATCTCTCTTTACCCCAATCCCTTTAAGATACATTACTCCAAGGTTGTAGTGTCCACCAGCCTCATCATTGTCAGCAGCCTTCTCAAAGTATTCCTTTGCCTGCAATAAAAGGAATTGGTTTATGACATGCTATCTGAAATTAAAAAGAACATCTCAGAATATGTAACAATAAAATATGAAACAGCCAAAAGTAAAACCAAAACATGTTTACAGATAAATACATAACATGTACATGCTTCACGCCAAACAATATTTTATGCATAACAGTGAGATTATATCGTTGTGTCATAATCAGCAGAAAATTGACAGACAGAAGAGACAAATGTCAAAATTTGATAGGACTCTTTAAAGATAGTTCATTATTACTTTAATCCCTTGCAAAATTTATAAAACAAATTTCCTGGAAAGCCAGATTCATCATACCGCTACTGAAAGTAACCTTGCGTGGGTCTCCATCAACAAATACAGGTAAAGCTCAGGACAAAGAAATTGGCAGGAAATAAAATGAGCTTACTTTGGTATAGTTTTTCTTTTCCACTCCATAACCTTTGACATATAAATAGCCCATGCCATTATATGCAGAATAAAGTTGCTGCTTTGATGCAAGAGTAAGCCATTCAAGAGCTTTAGTATAGTTCCTTTCAACTCCGGCTCCCCTTGCATATATCTCACCTAGGAGTTCCATCGACCTGGGCTCCCCCTTCTTTACGGCCTTTGAAAACCATAACAATGCCTTGGCATGATCACGCCTTAACCCTCTCAACCCAAAGTAGTAAAATAGCCCAATTTTATACATGGCTCCCGCATTCCCCTTCTGGGCCTGATATTCCAGAATCTGGAAGTCTTCATCTTCTTCCCCTCGAGATTTCCTTAGAGCTTCCTTGTTCTCCTCAGCTCCATTGTGAATTCTAACTGGTTCAATCACAGGTGAATCCTTTGAGATCAAAAAACTATTCACAGCTACTTCAGCTAACTCAGCATACAATTTAACCGCTTTATCGTACATCTGAAAACAGACAAAGTACCAAATCACTCATCAAAACTATAAGAAAAATCAAGATAACAGCATGAGGAAGAACTTCAACCATAATATCTAGAGTTAAAGTGCTAGACTTTCTATAGAACTTGGAGAACTGTCTTCTCAGGAAGGCTTGGAAAATCAGATGCATGAACTTTCAGCTATTTCTCAAGCATAGCTAATCATTCATTTTAATTCCTAATGCAAAATTTAACTGTTTGCTAGCTACAAGCCCATAAAAATTTTTAATAGGCCTCACAGCTTCTCACACTTTCATAATTTGGAATCACGTTTGGACAATTTTAGTAATATCATGAAAATTTCTATTTTGATGACTTAAAAACCAGAGCAATAACAAACATAAATCACTGCTAATTTAAAAAAAAAAAGTATAAAAAATGTGTTTAATGTGAATTCAGGCTCTGTATGTTTCTGGAAGATGTTTGGGATGCTCAAGAAAATCAATCAAATAAACTATTTTCTTGGTCAAAAGGAAAACTAAGTCATTTTAAGGAAAATGACCTCCCATTTTTATTGACAAACTTAACCACCACCATCAGTCACCGGTCACAACTGGCCACCTACCAGTCACCAGCCACCGTCAACAACCACCACCATTTATCAATAAATTTTTAAAATACAAAATTTCTTTAATTATAACTATTTATATAGTCTTACGTTAAAAAAATTAATATTTTTTTAACTAATTTCAAGACTACAATCAACTAATGCAAAATGAGTTATTTGGAAAACGTTTTCTTTCCAAAGGTAAGTTACTTTTCCGGAAACAAACCTTAATATCTTCTAGTCATAATATATCCCATAAAATTAAAAAAGAGGAACTAAGCTTGATTAAGCAAATTTCTGACACTATTAAACATAATCATATAGCTCAGTTTATCTGGGTACGAACACTAATATAATGGGAGTGAATAGCATAATAGAGCTGTAGTATAATTAATAAATGTGACACATTATAACTACACTACAGATTACCAAACAAAATCTTAATGCCAGTCCAAGAAATTCAATTGACCGCAAAAAAATATTTATAAAACAAGGGGTTATTTCACTCACGTCTTGGCGTGTATAAGTGTAGGCAAGAGCCATCTTTGACTGCATACTACCTTCTTCAGCCGCAAAATGATGATAAAGAAATGCCTTTGCCTTACTCCACTCTCTCATTTGCCCTAGCCCATACAGAAACCCTAACACTGACTGCGCGTGAGGATTCCCAGCCACAGCTGCTGCCTCGATCTCCGCCGTTGCCTCCTCCATCAACCTCACCTCGCCGCCGCTCACCGCGGACAGCATCTTCTGGACACCTGAGTAATACTCTGCCATCTCTGGATCCTCGGTAATATCAGGACTTGAAGAATCGGGCTCAAAAATTGGCCGCCAAGATCCAGGGTCGAGTTCGTGCTCAGGCTTTGAGTCGGAATCACCGAACTCGTCCCACTCCGGCGGCGACTCTGCGGTGGAGTCACCGTCGGAGTCGGCTGAAGTGGGAGCATCTTTGAGGTCGTCTTGGGAGAGAACGAGAACGAAAGGGCGAGCGTTGAGATAGATAGGAAAAAGAGAGAGAATGAGAAAAGAGAGAGTTAGTCTGTAACTTATTAAACTACGCATCTTCCCTATCGCGGTTGAAGAAGAAAGAAGAGAGCTTTGTATTTTGATCTTGTTGGATGGAGGGGTAATTACGGGATATTTTATTTTTATTACAAATTGTATCTATGTTTGGTTTGCCACGTCAATGTCTTTGGTTGAGCCAATCGTTTCTTGCCATATCGCACGCTTTTAATTGCATCCGTCGTCTACCTATTTTCTATTTTAAGGATTACTATTTTTTCTTATTTAGGTCACACATTTACTACTGGTTATATACTCGTTCTTTTATATTTGTTTATTTTCTTTATTTATATAATATTAAGATATAAGCTCTCTTTTTTTAACTGCTAAGGACGGAATTAAACTCCATTAGATACAATACGTGACCAAATAGCCCTTATCATATAAGTATCCAGGAATTGAATAAGCTAAGGAGGAGGCTCCTTTAATGCCTGCAGGCCCATCAACTCTGATAATGCATGAGAAGCAAGATAATCAACAATTGAATTTACCTCTCAATATACCTTGATAATGCAAACCTACCATGACCGACTAAGCAACTCCCTACATGTCTCCACTGATTATAAACTCTGGTAGCCACACTTCTCGTCCCACCCAACAACTAAAAGGTGATTTGGGAGTTAATGCAAAATAACTTATTGCTATCTCCGATCCCATGCTATCTTAAAGGGCATAGTAAATATCTTATACGTCAGCTTCAAGAGCTGGACACGAACCTAAAGAGACATGAAACCCCAATAACCATCAACCTTCATCATTGCAAAAGATACCACCATAAGAAGCTCTTTTAGGATTCACAAAGGAACTGACATTCGTGTTAATCGTAATCCACCTAGTTGGAGGAAACTCCTATGCAATAAAAATTTGACAAGTGGAAACTGAACTTCCCATCACATCCCTACTCTCCCATGTTTTCACAATCTCACTGACCTTCACAAGAGAAAAGATTTTTGAAGCTGATATTTGGTCTATTTACCATTTGACCAACTTTAGCTCTCCACCTTGTAATGAACACAGAGAAGGACTCTTCAGGGTCCTGTTTGATAGTCTCTAAGTCCCTTCAGGAAATGTCAATCTCGATGTTGTAATGATATTGATTGTTGAAGGCATTATAAACGTCTCCTCGGCTCTTCTTGTGAGACTTGTCTAAACCCCCAAACCATCTTAATGCAACACCGATCAATGACTGCTGGAACAACTGAGCAACGAACTCGTTGTTTACACCAAGTGGATTTAATCAACTTATATGGGTTAATTTCACTAGAAGGGCCTGAATTATATACCCAATCATTTACAGGGTACTAACTTCAATTTATATCTTAAAAATATCTAAACTCTCACATTTGTAACGATAAAATGCCTTTTGTTGTAAGTGATAATTGTCGGTTGCCGAATTGCCAATTATTTAACACATGGCTTTTTATTTTAAATGAAAAATCCTTTTTAATTTTCTCTCTCTTCCACTCAGCCCTCTATCCTCGTCCCCCCTCTCTCTCTTCTTTCCTCTAATATCTAGCAGATCCACAGTCAAAGATCTCAGCTTTATACAAAAGTAGCCCCGGTTCTCGAACAAAAAGGAATAAGAAAGCAAATGGGTGGTGAAGAGAAAGTTTTCACCTTGGCTGAAGTGTTCGAGCACGACAATCCTAAGGACTATTGGGGTAAGGTGATTTTTTTGTTTTATTGTCTTTTTTCATATTTTCTAATTGGACTTTGTTTTTTTGCTATTTGTATTTTTCTTATGAATTTTTTTTACTATCTCTATTCCCCATATCATCTTCATCGAGTTCTACAGCATCGAATGTATTTGATAAAGCAGAGGGTAGTGAAGCTTCATCAATAGGGGCAACGGCATCAGCATCAAAGTATGAGGACCGGACGATAAGGAGGACAAGGATGGTTGTCGGATTTGTAAGAATCCAAGAGATGCAAAGAATCTTTATAATCGATTGGATTTGTTAATTTGGGGATTTTGCAAGTTTTACTGGAAAAGTTTTGGATTCAATTGACTGGTTTCAAAAATTTTAAAAATTGATTAAACAATATCTAATTTTGGATTTTTGATGTTCATTATTTTCTTGAAGCCACCGAAGAATCTTTGTTAGTTGTGAATTAATCTTCTTATCATGCAAAATGATATTCATTATTGCTTTTGGGAAATGGGTTTATGTTTTATCCAATATACTTGATCATTTGTGGTGATTAAGAGAGGAGAGAGAGAGAGAGAGAGAGAGGGCTTAGATGGAAGAGAGAGAAAATTAAAAAGGATTTTTTTCATTTAAAATAAAAAACACGTGTTAAATATTTACAATCTAGCCATCAAAAATAGTCAATTGCGGCAAAAGACATTTTATTGTTATAAATGTGAGAGTTTAGGTATTTTTAAGATACAAATTGAAGATGATACCCCATTAAGTGATTGGGTATATAATTTAGGCCCTTCCAGTGAAATTAACCCCAACTTATATACATCTTCACCTGCGTCTTGGGATAAGTAGTACCATCAAACTGTTGGCTCAAGGGTCAAATATTAATCTCGAGATTTTGATGATTAAAACAAAACAAATAAATTTAAATTATATTATTCAAAACAAATAAATTAAATTATATTATTTGTCTATGCTAATAATATTTTATGCAGATTACAATATTGGAAAGTAATAAATGAACATGGCAAGTCCTACCAAAATTTCAAGGGATTCATGAAGAATTTTGGAAGAAACCCTAGTGGTTTAGAGTTTTAGGAATTATTTATAGGGATAAAGAGAACATTCAATTATAAGTTTACAAAAATCAATTTTCCTCTCATCAAAAAATTATTTTTCGAAACGAAATTTAGTTTCTTCAAAATAAATCTTTTTCGTTTTCCTTGATTTACATTAAAAAATCGTTTGTCGAATTCTTCTTAAGATTCGAAACATTCAATTACCTAAATTAAAGAGATTTTGTCTCTAACCAATTTTCGGTAAGGGTAATACGATAGACTTGAAATAAAGCATTCTTATGCACTTCATCGGAAACAAAACCTTTTTGAAGCATCTTAAAGAATCTTTGATTTATCTTTTTAACCTAAAACGAAGAAATATTTTTATTTTTAAATTCGTTTTAGTAAGAAAAAATCTTTTCGAAAATATTTTATTCAAGTATTATACTTTTTCGAAAATCTTTATTTTAAGGAAAGAAAAGATTGTCTCTTTATTTCTTTACCAAAAAGAAAGTGAATATTGACTCAAAAATGGTAACAACAAATTTCCATATTCTTCTAAAATAAGAAAAGTCAATATTTCTGATTTGAAAAAGAGATTTTCACTTGTTAAACGAGAGTCACTACCTCTCTATAAAAAGACATTTTCATTCTTTTGAAAAATGTGGAAGAAAGAGTTTTGTTTAAGAGTATTCATCCATTGATCATATTCCTTTATCTCTCAAAAACTTACTCTCTACCCCCCTTACTTCTTTTCATCTTTATAGAAAAGAAAAAATTTTTAACAACTTCTAACAACTTCTTTTGAAAAACAGTTCTAATTTCTAAAATGATTTTCTAATCTTAAAAACTGTTTTTCCTGTGCTTATATTTCCATTTCTGTCTGTCTATTTAGATCTGTAATCTTTAGTATACAAGTTTTCTTTTGATAAATTTTTGTGTAATAGCTTAGGTAAAAAGCTATTATGAAATAGGTTATCAAGTAACATTCTCCGTGAGAGATATTCTAATGTCTTGAATTGAGTTTCTGTTCTCTGCCAAAAACAGAAAGGGTTGAGGTTAACTAAAACCTTTAGAAAATCTAGTGGGACAAAGGGTAGATTTAGGAGTTGACCTATTGCCCGGTACTGTTGGTTTGTCTTTTACCCTTGAAAAGATATAACATAGTTGAGGATCTCAAGATGAGTTTTGGGGAGTGGATGTCGGCGAGTTAGTGCCGAACCACTATAAATCACTGTGTTGATCTTTTTATTTTCTGAAGTTCTTCTTGATACTATTTTACTCACACTTCTGTTTATATTTTACTCACACTTCTGTTATATTTTAGAAATGATGAAAATTTGTTTATAGTTGATGTTCTAAAACTGAAAATAAGCTTTTATATTTTCTGTAACATTTAGAACTTCTTAAAACTCTGCTCCGTGAATATACTGAAAGTTCTTTTAAAAACTGTTCTTCTATTTTCAGTATATATTTCACTATTTGGGTTTCTAATCAGTTTCTAAAACTTGATTCAAAACTTTGTGAAAGCAGTTGTAGATTTCAATTTAACTGTCTCTCACACAGTCTTTTATGTTTCTTCTAGACTTTATGAGGAAGTTCTAATCATAATAGCTTTCCGTCATAAAGGTAGTTTGATATTAAATAAGAACATTGTGAAGCAAGTTCAATTAATAGCTCACTCCGCAAAGTCTTTCTATTTTCTCTGATAAGAACCATTGTGAGGTAGTTTCTAATCTATAACTTATTTTTCACATGTTTCCATTAATTTTCCGCTGCATCTTAAAATTCTGAGTTTTGTTTTTAAAAGTTAAATTTTATTTTTATTTTTTAGAAAAAACCAATTCACCCCCCTCTTTGGGTTGTGCCATACATATACGGGGACCCACACACTTTCCACAGGCAGGCATCTTTGAATTGGGAGGAGCAACCTTGCCTCAGAAACAGAGCCAAAGAATCCACATCAATTTACCTCCTTTATCTGTTTCAAGGGGGGGGGCTATGAGGGTACTTCCATGTGACATCCTAACTGAGTCGAGTCATTTCCATTGGAAGTCGAGTTTTTGAGTCGAGGTTGAACCAAAACCCTGTTGGGGGTGAGAATGGGTTTATAAGTGGAGTTACTTGAAGTTGAGAGAAAATTTAAAAGCACGATGGGTGAGATTGATTTTGCATTAAAAGATTGAGCTTGGTATTAAGTTGTAGCCTGTTTACAATTGATCGGTACCATTTAGAAGTTTTACATAAATCCTTTGATTTTTGATTAGGCCTACCGTGCATAACCCATTTTCGACTTTTTCCCATTTTTTCATTGTTTATCTTCATCTTCTTCCTTTCCTCTTCCACCTTACTTTTTTCAATTTTAATGCGTAGTTAAGCCTTCACTCAATTTTCTATCTATCCAAGTAAGTAAAACCTTCTTTGTATCAGGGTAGCTGAAGTAGATCGACTCCTTTGTCCAGTTGTGCATGACTAAAAAGAATATTTTGTGTTCTTTTTAATGTTCTTAATGTTTATGAGCTTGTGACGTCCTACTCCGAGTCGAGTCTTAGCATAGAGTTGAGTAGTCGAGTTGAGTCGAGTTGAACCAAACCCAGTTGGGGTAGAATGAGATTATAAGTGGACTTATTTGAGTGAGAGAAAAAGATCAAGCTTGGGTATTAAGTTGTAGCCTATTAACAATTGAGGTACCAGTTAGGAAGTTTTACATAAAATCCTTTGATTTTTGATAGCCTACCCGTGCATACCCATTTCACTTTCCCATTATCTTCATCTTCTTCATTTTCTTCCCTTCCTTTCCTCTTCCACCTTCCTTTCAATTTTAATGGTAGTTAAGCCTTAACTTCAATTTTTCTTCTATCCAAGTAAGTAAACCTTCTTAAGTTCATAATTGAAACATTTGGTGCTATTGTTTTAGAATTCATAAGAATTCTTATTTATAGGTGAAGGGAGTTCTAAGAGTGTAGAAACAAGAAGCTAAAGAAGAGCTCAAGCTTTTTGGAGCAAAGGTTTGATATCTCTTTTTCTTTACCATTTTCTTTGTATGAGATTTGTGTGGTGTGTTGCTATGAGACCATATTGCTTTATGTGAGTGGGAGGACTGGTAATGGTGAGAAAACAGGGTAGCCTGTTTACAATTTAGGTACCATTTAGGAAGTTTTACATAAATCCTTTTTTGATTTTGATTGCCTACCCTGTGCATACCATTTCACTTTCCCATTTTTCATGTTATCTTCATCTTTCTTCCTTTCCTCTTCCACCTACTTTCAATTTTAATGGTAAAGGTTAGGTTTTAAAGGGGGGGCCTTAACTTCAATTTTTCTTCTATCAAGTAAAGTAAACCTTCTTGAAGTTCATTTTAATTGAAAACATTTGGGTGCTATTGTTTAAGAATTCATAAAAGAATTCTTAATTTATAGGTGAAGGGGAGTTCAAAAAGAAGGAAGTTTTGTTAAGGGAAAAGAAGCTAAAGAGCGGAGCTCAAGCTTTTGGAGTAAAGGTTTGATATCTCTTGTTATTTTCCATTTTCTTGCTATTGAGAATTTGTGTGGGTGTGCTTTCATGTTTGAGGTGAGGACTCTTGGTAATGGTGAGAAACAGGGTGAGAACATGGGGAGGTATTGAAATAAATTGAAGTGAATATTGTCAGTTTATGGTTGAAATAGGGGCTTGGTTGGTAAATGTTACCCAGTAACTTTCACCTTGATTTTGACCCCATTTAATGATGGAATTAGGAAGTGTCATAGAAGATTTCATTTGTTCCTCTATGCTGTTAGCTTTACCATTGGGTTTTTGAATCTCGAATTGGAGATTGTATATTGAGAGATATGACCAAAGAGTACAGGACAGTGCAGGCTGGAAGCGCCCGCCGCGAAAATGGCATGACCGAGTTTCGCGTTGCCTCTCGCCGCTCGCGAATTTGAACTACGCGCTCGCGACTTTCACCTGAAACTTCTCTGACTCTCATTGGCACATCTCGTGCTCGCGACTTTCAAGTGGCCGCGCTCGCGGACTTGTGTTCGCAAAACTCTCATGGACTTTCATTTGGCATTTCTTCGCGCGGCTCGCGACTTTGAAAGTACGCGCTCGCGTACCTTGGCCTTGGCCCTGTAAGCGCTCGCGCTTCATCGCGCGCTCAGCGAATTTGGCCTGGGAAACTCCAATGGCTCTCATTTGGCACTTTTCTCGCGCTCGCGGACTTTCAAGTACGGCCTCGCGACTTGTGCCCGCTAACTCACTGTCTCTCATCTAGTGCATTACGCGGCTCGCGACCTTGCAAGGCGCCTCTGCGACTTTGTGTTTTCCATGCATTTTTGGGACTTCTTTTTTCAATGCAATTGTATTCCTTTGCTTTCACTTATATGCCTCCAATCATTTTAACATCAAATACAACATTTGAACATTATCA